ATAAATTTATTGCAGCCTTCTCTCCTTATCATTTTTCTTTTTCACTATTTTGTGTTACCCATCTTGATCTTATCGTTCATGGTCTAGGACTTTTTGTTCATTTTTTTCCTCATTTTTTTACGTTTTCGGCAACTCGATGTTCTTCGATCTGGTTCGGCCTTTTTCTCTTCTTTTTCTACTTCGTTTTTCCCTTTTTCCTTTTTTCTGTTTTCTTTTTGGTTTTTCCTCTGCGTCCTGCTAAAGTATTTGGCATCTCTTACATTATTCCAAAAATAATCAGAATTCAGAAAGCCATCTTTAAAACAAGCAAAAAAAACAAAAGACTTAAAACCTGTTCATTAGACAATGAAGATGATTTATGATATGTTGACATGGTTTTAATCACGTTAAGTAAAGAAGAATAACTGACAACACAAAACAACAACATATAATCGAGGAACACTACTACTGGTATTGAAAAAACGGATAAAACAATAGAAAAAACGAAAAATTGATTTATAAAAAATAAAGACGGTAAACAATACAAAAAAGCCGACCAATGTAGAAACTAAACCACAATTGAGCTTAAGATACATTTAAAAAAGTAATATATTTATATATAGCTCTCAATTTAAGCTAGGATTTCCCACATCATATGTACATTTTTGTTTCAGATAATCTCGCTCAACAGATAATCCGATTATTAACGAATAAAGGGGAATTAAAAAGATTTTATTAACGAATAAAGGAGAATTAGTTACCAAGATAGAATGAGAGACCTTATAGCGAAAATTTTACTTTGCATATATTATATATGATATGATTCTAAATGTTTTTTTGATTAAATTCTAATTTTAAATTTTCGTTATTTTCTATTTTAAATATTTTTGATAAAATTTTGATTTTTAATAATTTTTATTAAATTTAAATGTTTTTTTATTAAATTTTGATTTTTAACAGTTTTTTTTAATTAATTTACGATTTTTTATATTTTTATTTAATTACGATTTTTAATATTTTTATTTAATTAATTTACAATTTTTAATAATTTTGTTATTTAATTAATTTAAAAAATATAAGAAGGAGTAAAGGGTAATTAGCCACCCTAAAAATAAATGAGAGAGCTTTAACTCAAAATTTTACTTTGCTTATAATATATATGATTTTTAATATTTTTATTTAATTAATTTATAATTTTTAATAATTTTGTTATTAAATTAATTTAAAAAATATAAGAAGGGGTAAAGGGTAATTAGCCACCCTAAAAATAAATGAGAGAGCTTTAACTCAAAATTTTACTTTGCTTATAATATATATGATGAATCAACAAATGAAGCACAAAAATATTTAAAAACGTTTAGGTAAATCTTTATTTTTTCTCAGAATTCAAGTCGATAATCTCTAGCTTAACAGAATATCTTGAATATAATCCTAGCATACCAATTTTTTTTTTAAAAAAAACAAAGAAATCTTTAGCACTTACACATATACACACTTATCTTTAGCGATTGATATATATCATATATATTATAAGCGAAGTAAAAATTTCGTTTAAAGCTCTCTCAGTTTAATCTCAGGGTGGCTAATTACCCTTTATCTTTTCTTAAAAAATAGTTAATTTTTTTAAAGTACATTAAAAATTAATAAAATAGTTTAAGTTAAAATCGATTAAATGGTTTAAAATCGACAAATAAATTACCTAAACCCTAGCTTGTTGTAGCTGTAGGAATACTATATATATCAACCTTTATGTGATCATTCGTAGTTTTGGGGATTGATCTTTGGTTTGTGGTTAATTTTTATGTTGATGACATCTCCGGGTATGTGGTTTTCATTTTTCGTTGTTCGGGTTCTAAGCTATTGTTTTCAATGTTTCTGAAGTTTGCTTTGATCTAATGATTTGTTTCTATTGCCCATGCCTATGCTGATATCTCTATGAATATGTTATGTTGTGAGGAGGATTAATTGCCAGCGAAGATTTCTATGATTTATCGATCAAATATCAAATTAATCTCCTCAGATCTCGACTTCGTTTCTGGTTTATTTTTTTTTTAAAATATGGTTTGCTTTGGATTTGAGATTCTTAGAGAAGAAGTTTTTGCTGCTGGTGATATCCCGCGTAAATAAACCCTAGCATATAAATCAATAAATCCTACTTGCGGAATCCTATGCTACAAGTGTTTGTTTATCACTTAAAATAAAATACTAATTCAAATTAAGTAGGACGTCCTAGAATGACTATATTTAAGTTACAGGTCTTTTTTTGGTTTTACGTCATTAGTTTTTTACTTTGTTGAGCCGCTCATGTTTTAGATATTTTTTATCGTTTAGATTTTATTTGATTTGTAAATCATCTGTATTTTTTTTTTGTTCATGATGGTTTAACTTGCTTTCTAATTTGTCATTTATTTGTTTTTGTTATTTTTATATCGAGGTGATCGATAGATTTTTTTTTATGTGTAGAGGATTAATATGCTGGGACGTATTTGCAATCACAACAACCACACATCTACGAATATCAATTTCTAAAACCTCATGTTCTTAAGAAAAATTTCTCTAATCTCCCTTTAACGTTACACTTTTTCTCTCCATCTCTTTTGCTTTTGATATCCGTCGGTTTTAGTTTTCCTTTGTGTTACTCCCGCCTTTGTTGCAGGCTTCCGTGGGTAGATTTCGGTATGGATTCATTGCCACTGTTATTTTTCCTTTTTATGTAATGTTTGCATTTGTACGTTTGATTTCTTCTACACAAAAAACTTCTCGAGACCAGGATACTAGGAGCTATGGCCATTAGGTGATCTAATTGATTTTTGAATATCTTTAGATTATTTTTTCCTCTTAATCAAACATTGGATCTTCTACGTTTTGATTCTGATTATGTTGCTTATGAATGATGATAGGGTTTTCCAATTATTGATGATTTCTGAGATTTTGTTCATATCCTGAAAAGTTTTGATAAACGATATGATGATCTTGGTTGTTCGTATTTGGGTGTGTTAATGTGTTTTTGATAGGTTTATATTAAGGGTGTGTGTGGAAGGTATAAGTTGAGTTCCCCGATGCTTATTCTTATATATCTCCATCTGTTGGATTTATCACCCAAATAATGATGAACTGTGAGTTTCTATAGTTTAATCACTAAATGTTTTAGAAAATTATTGGATATTTGTGTTCTTGAGAATCTTCTTGATCTTTATCTTTGGTCTCTTTGTTAGGCAGATAAGTTGGGTTCTATTTGTTTCGATGTGATCAATCTGACTTGGAGTCCTGTTATAACTCTCTCTGTTTATTCCCATGTTTAATACACGAAACGTGTTCTGTCTCAGAGAGCTTTTTTGTGTGAAAATGATTGGCTTAGCCATTGTGTCTTTGTAGTTGAATCTTAATGCTTTATACTTATTACATTGCTTTATACTATACATTATTCATTACTTTTATGCATGATTTATGAGATTTTGACTTATGCTGCTCTTGTGGAGTAGGGCTAAAAAACGATGTTCCCATAAACCACGGCAAAGCAGTTAATATTGGGTCTTCCTAATCGGCTAATAATGAATCTTTCATCAATGGGATTAGAAAGAATAGTGTTTTTAGTCTTGTGTGGGATTAGAAGGTGTGTCAGTAACATGTTTGTTTGAAATTATTCTTTCTCAATAGACAATGTCATTTAAATGAAGTGGTTAACTAGATGTTGACTTTGAGAGCAAACTCCATGCTCAACTAAATTACAAGCATCCTCAAGCAAGAGCGCATGTGAAGTCCCAGATTTTGAATAGATCGGTGTTTCATTTAGATAGGTAAAATGTATGTGCACTTACAAATTTCCCTAAAAATTTGAGTAAAGCTCCAATTGTTAGTTATGCATGATTCATAAGTTTTAGGAAAATATGTCTTCGTAGGATAAGGCTCAATCAAGATGTCTCCCAGCAGCGTAATTTGGATATGAGATTCTTGCAAAGCCAACGGAAGTTCTGCTTGGTTCTTGATTTAGACCTCACTTTGCTTAATTCAACCGTACTTAAGGACCAGAGACCAAAGGTGGAGTAATATAAAAGCAATATATATTCTCTTTATGGTCATACATTCTATTACTTTGTTTTTAGAGTTTTCAAATGATAAGTACTATACTTTTAGTTTATATTTAGCTGGAAGTGCGTTTGAGATCAAACAAAATACCGTCAGTACTTAACCAAAAGTCAAAGTTCAATAAATAACTAAATGTTTGAAATTGTGTCTCGATAAATTTAACGGTCGGTATAAAAAAAATATTATTCATCAAATTCAGAAAAATAAGAGATGAAACTTAATATAGTGTCTAAGCTACCAAAAAAGTTGTTTACTTGCTCTGACACTATGGTTTCATTCCTGCACTTGCAAGAAATATGTAGAAAAGATTTCTAACTATCAGAAATTTTCTTTGTGCTGACCAATATGCATGTATAATATCTTTTGGAGTTTATTAATTAATGATATTAACATAAACAAATCCTGTCTAGATTCGTTAAACGGTATAGAAGAATTTAGTTGACAAAGTTACCAAATAAATTGTTTACTTAAGCTCCGATATTATGGTTATGTGCAGAGAAAGATAAGAACCGGACAAACAATTCTATTTTATGGGGAGGATGAAAAATTAAAATAATCCATAAACATAATGTATACAAATGATGACTAATTTAGAAATGGAGTTTAACATGATATCAAAGTTATTAAAGAGATTTTTATCTAAGTTGTAATATCATGGTTTTAGCCCGCACTTGCAAGAAACCTGCAAGGAGGATTGAAGAATTTAAATCATCCATAATATAAATTCATACAAAAAATAACTACTATAGAGATGAATTTTAAATTGGTATCAAAGTTATCAAAAATATTGTTTAACTACGTTTTAATATCATAGTTTTGCATCCACACTCGCGAGAAAGATAAAAATTCACAAGAAAGAGAGACAATCACCGTAAACTGGAGAAAGAGTTCCAGCTTGAGAGGTTGAAAAACTTAAATAATCCATAAACTTAATGTATACAAATAATGACTATTTTAGAGATAAACCTTAAAATAGTATCAAAGCTATTAAAGAGATTATTTACTTACACTCTAAATATCATGGTTTTGTGTTCATACTTGCGAGAAAGATAAAAACATTTGCAGTGAGAGTTTTTTATAGAGTCTTTCACCATTAAAAAAAGAAAAAAGTATAAAGAGAAGATAGAGAGAGAGACAGAGAGAGATATGAGTTTTTTATTTGAGCGACTTTGAAATAATCACTGAGAGACTCTCAAACTATGTGTTTCTTTATTATCCATTCATTTAAAAAAAACTTAAAATTTAATTATAAAACTTAATTTTATTAAAATAATAATATTATTTTGATGAGAGACTTAAAATGGGTCTCTCACTACTTCAAGTGGTCTAAGAACCAACAAGAAAGAGAGACAGTTCATGTAAAACGAAAAGAGCTTTGGCTAGAGAGAACGAATAATTAAATTCATCCATAAATTAATGTATATAAATAATGACTATTTTCGAGATGAAGTTTAACATGATGTTAAAGCAGGATTATTTACCTAAGCTCTGAAATCATTGTTTCTTGCATACAATAGCGAGGAAGACAACAACCTAAAAGAAGGAGAGGAAATTTCAACAAAACATGGAGAGATTTCTAGCTAGGAAAAATGAAGAACTATAATAATTCATAAACTTAATGTATATAAATAATGATTACTTTAGAGATGAAACTTAACATAGAATCAAAACTACCAAAATGATTTATTACCTACACTCTGAGACCATAGTTTTGTGTCCACGCTTGAAAAAATATATAAGAACCGACGAGAAGAAAAGACAATTCCAGAAAAACTGGAAGAGAGTTTCGGTTAGAGAGAACGAATAATTAAAAAAATCCACAAATTAAATGTAAACAAATGGCTACTTTAGAGATGAAAGTTAATGATAGTCAAAGTTACCAAATCATTTGTTTATTTATACTCTAATGCCATAGTTTCGTGTCCATGCTAGCGAGAGAGATAAGACCCGAAACAAGGAAGGAAAATTATGGCAAAACAAGGGGAGAGTTTTGCTAGAGAAGGAAGAAATCAAAATAATCTATAAACTTAATTTATGCAAATAATGATTATTTTAGAGATGAAACTTAAAATAGTATCAAAGATGTCAAAATAATTATTTACTTACGCTCTGATACCATATTGTCGTACCCATTCTTGCGAGAAATATAAAAACCAACAAGAAGGAAAGACATATCCGAAAGAACAAGGAGAAAGTTCTGGCTTGGGAGAAAGAAAAATTCAGACTAATCCATAAACTTCATGTATGCAAATAATGACTATTTTAGAGATGAAATTTTACACCGATTGAAAAAATGAAACCAACAAAAATTAATTGTAATAATACATGAAGAAATTTTCGGCTAGAGAGAATAAAAAACTAAAGTATAACATTTAATATATAAAAAATATTATTAATTTTATGTTTTTACGTTTTTTTTTGTTGGTTGGTTGTTATTATGTTTGGGTTTGGTTTATTATCGGTTATAAATGTAGCAATTTAACTAACATGATTATTTTGTTAAAACCTCTTCGCCTGTGCAAGGCGCGGGCTAAACACCTAGTATAGTTATTACAAACAAGAGAGGTACACGTGCACAAGCAGCTTTCTCTTCCATAAGAGAATATACGTAGCAACGGATTCGGTTGATTGTTATCGTGACACACGATACAATTGCAACTTTTGATGATCCGTCACTTTTTTTTATTTTACTTTTGTATAAACTTGCATGTTTGTATCATGCATTATATCTAAACACACGTCACGGTATTCAAATATATATATATAATAATACAGGTAGATAAGTTCATCAGGAGGTATATATTCTTGCGGTACTCGATCGTTGAATCAATCAGTGCACATCAGAGATTCTCAGTGGTGGAGAGAAGTATGAACTCAACTCCAAGATACATCTCATCGTTCACAAGAAATCCCCTTGAAGCATTTTGGAGTTCATTCAGCCTCATAAATTGGTGCCAGCCCCAACCGGTACGAATAATATCCGGGTTAGTAGTAAACCACTTATTGCAGCTGTCTTTATCAAACATGTGGAGATTGATTGAAAATATTAGCGAACGGTATTATATATAATGAAAAGCTTAGAAAAAGGAGAAATAATTAAGTGTGTATACTAGTTTCATAGTGATTGCGTTTGAATTGGTCCAACAATCGCAGTTTATAGACGGCCAATGTTTTTGCCATTGGATCAGCGGTCACGAAATCGCCCACAGTCAAAAACAAAGACAAGTAACTTCCTTTCCCAGTGCCGCATCCTTTTGGGAACATTTTTAGTTTCCTGGCTCAAATATAATATAACACAGATCATACTATCTCAGTATCATGGTTTGTAACATGTTTTAGGACTGTTTTGTCATTTCTAAGTAACCAATAATTCATTTTCTAAATTTACACCTACATGTGTTGTATTCTTTATTTGAAACATCATCAATTATAAAGTATGGATCATTGATTCATTCGCGCATTTAACCAAAACATCTTATAGATTGAAATAGAGGGAGTATATATGATTTGTATACCATCTCCGTTGTCCAAGCTTGAACTCGTTGGAAAAATGATAATCACCAACGTCGAAGGAAGAAAACTGAGTGATCTTCCAGGTGAATCTAGAGTCTTTTTTGGACACCTCGGTTAGTGTTATGCGTTCCGCTGTCCCAATGGTTCGAGGGATTGTATTGGTCACAGGAAAGTTTGGTCGGACGTCGGTGATGTCGGCACAGAAAACCACTTTGTCATTCACAAGATACTTCTTCTTCAACTCCTCGTATGATATGAAGCTGTCTTCCCCAATAATTCTTTGGTTTGCGTTATAAGACTCCGTAAGCCCTGATTATATATATACATACATATATATCTCAACATCATATATATCATGAAAATCTACATTATAAATACTGATGCACGTTTCCATATATATATATATAATGTGCAAAACTTACATTCAGAAGACTGGCACCTATTAAATCCATTCTGAGGAACTATGGTGAGTTTGAAACTGCATTTGACTTCCCAATTAGGACCTAAAGACTTTTTATCTTTGATCTTTAGATAAAAAGATAAATACTCCTTTGTGCCGTCCTCCCCAGCTGGATAAACAATCAACTTCCTACATCCCAATTTCAAGCCAACAAAGAACACTCATATATATATATATATATATATATATATATATATATATTTTAGGTTAAATTTGAATTAGAGAACCTTGTACTGGGGCATTAGATCAGAATGACTCACCATTTGAGACCAGATACATTGAAAACCGATGACTGAACCTCCTTCACTTTGTGAGTCTTTAGCTTAGACATTCCATCAACCAACATTATGTGAGCGTTTTTGCGAACCTCTAGCTGCGCCTTTATGTTCTCTGGATCGAATTAATACATATGCATATTAGCAAATATATACATAGAAATGAATTCAAGTTGATTGTATGCAATTGCATGCTTATAAGTAAGACGTACCTTCAACTGTCAGACTCATTTTGATGATGAAGATGATGGTCTGCTTCAATACTATTAGACTTTTTAGTTTGTGTTAAAGTGAGAAGAAAACTGGTATGTATGTCTGTATATATAGGCAAATTCCTTGACGAAGGGGTTTCAATTAGGATCTAAACGGGTGGAGGTACATTCGATGTTATCTAATACGAACCATATCCTCCGGTCCCGACATTCCACAAGTGCTCTCTTTTATTTCTGTTTGTGTTTTTATTTTCACTTCCACAAGCACTCAATTGATTCCCACTTTATCGAGAACTTGACAATTTATGGCGAACAATTTTTAAATGGCGAGATATATGCGTGGGGACAAGCAATACCACATTCCTATTCTTTAATTGTATAAGTTCATATAAATAATTTTTTTAATTGTTGGTATTCTATATAATGTCATGTTTTAGAGGTAAACTAGTGCAACGCCCAAAATTGAAATTAGGTGATTATGTTGAAACCAGGTGGAATATGAACATTCTGAATGCCCTCCTTAGGGAATAAAAAGTCAGCTAACACGTCTATATACAAATGGTATAAAGTCTAAATATCTCAATGTAAAACACACCAAAAAAAAAACAAAAAAAAAACAACTTGATGACTGGATACATACCTTACGATTTTCAAACACATAGTAAATATGCCGTCAAAAGAGAGTGGATCACATTTAGTGAATCGAAAACCGTGTGGTTCATATAATAACAATACCATGATATAGAAGAAAAAAACAATACCATGATATAGAAAAAATAAAATGTTTGTACTACACTCTAAAAAACAGCAATTTTGTGATGGCCATGGTTGTTAACTTGTTACTTGTTAGCTCCCTAATGTATCAACAAATTAACAAGCTTTCGTTGGTCAACTTGACGACATTAGTTATTAAGCGAAAATAAGATAGTGTCTAGGTCGGTCATTAAAGACAAATAAACAAATAATTTTTGGAAAAATGAACCTGACAACCCTCGTATAAATTACGTGAGCGACTTTCAGTGAAAACATAATATGGTGAAAGTTTGATATATTCATCGATCTACCTACTCTTTTTGAGTAGAGTCAAGCCTCAGCTAATTATCATATAGTTCATAATATATATATATATATATATATTGTGTGAAGAATAATAAGAATAAAATCTGAGATGACCATATCTATCTGTGTGTGTGTGTTTTTTATATGTGTGTATTTGTAAGTGTTGTTTGTATGCACATATTTTTTTTTGTTGAAAATATGTTAAATTATATTCCAAAATAACTGTTTTCTTTACATGAACTTGTTTGAGAAGGTAATAAAAGAAATATGATCAAATCCTTGTAAGCAGTATAGCAAGTGATTTGTGCGGCTCCATGCGTGCAATATCATCCCCTGGAGCCAAACCAGACCTCCAGCCCATCTTCATAACGGTGATTCCCTGCAAGTCGCAGTGAACTAAGTCGATTACTCACCGTTTTAATAATGAATAAAACTACGATGGAATGTTTGCTTATAAACTACGGAAGCCTCACACACTCTCTTTTGTTTTCATAAACCGATTCGTAAGTTTTTTGTAAGAGTAAATTAGTTTATTTTAAATCACTAAAGTATGAGTTCAAGATTAATTAATATTGATCAACAAATGAAGCACAAAAATATTTAAAAACGTTTCTTAAAATTTTCTAGGAGTTCAAGTAGATAGTCTCTAGCTTAAAAAAAAAATCTTGAATATAATCCTAGCATACCAAAACAAAATTAAAAAACAAAGAAATCTTCATAAATTCAACCGAGAATTAATATTTCAGATTTTTGTTTTAAGTTCCTCTGAAAGGAAGATTAGAAAGAAAGAGTTCAATTTTGTTTGTGTTATAAAATATTAGGTGGATATTTTATTCTTTAATTAATTAATATCGATTTTTACAGTAAACTGGGTTTCAAAATACATACGGAATCCAATTTACAAGTATTTATGTGAGAATATATATCAATGTTATTGCAATAAGAAGAGAGGGTAAACGTGCACAAGCAGCTTTCTCTTATAATCCCATAAAACACTTGTAGAACTTTGTTAAAAGAATTCTTTATTAATACTTAGAAAATTTGTCTCAAAAACTAAACACAATAACCCTTTAATTTTCTCTTGATCTTAATGCGACTTCATTAAAACCTTTATATATTGCAAAGACATTTTCTCTTAAGATTTTTCTTTTTCTAACCGGTTTAGTAATTACCTAAAATCTATCTTATTCTAACTGATTTTGTTAGACATTTTGGGCTTCAGGTAATGGACCAAAGCTTATCCAACATCTCTTCCATAAGAAGCAACTTTTTTTATTTTTAGAAAGCAGTTACAAAGAGTGAAAAAGTTTGAGATACATGAATGAACCAGATACAATTGAATCTTCCGCTTCAATTGACTTTAATGCTTAGGATTGAAGAACTTTAGCCACGACCACCTCGGTTTCCATGTCCTTGGTTTCCACGTCCACCACACCTGTGGATTGCCAACTCATCTCCTTAGCCTTTGTTGATGGTTTAACCGGTCTTTCTCGAAGAATTCTTTTCCCTGAAAGTGTCATAAGATCCAACGAATCCGACTCTTTATCTGATGATCCATCACGTTTTATTGTATTTTTACATAAATTGCATGTTCGTACCATGCATTATATCTAAACACACATGCCGATATTCAAATATATATAATAATAGGTAGATATATAAGTTCATCAGGAGGTATTTATTCTTGTGGTCCTCGATCGTTGAATCAAACAATGCACATCAGAGATTCTCAGTGGTGGAGAGAAGTATGAACTCAACACCGAGATATATCTCATCGTTCACCAGAAATCCCCTTGAAGCATTGCGGAGTTCATTCAGCCGCATAAATTGGTTCGAGCCCCAACCGCTACGAATCATATTCGGATCATAGTGAAACCAAACATTGGAGTCTTTATCAAACATGTAGAGATTAAATATATTAGCGAACGTTTTATATATATAATAATGAAAAGCTTAGGAAAAAAATGAGAAATAATTAAGTGTATATACTAGTTTCAAAGTGATTGCGTTTGAGTTGGTCCAACACTCGTAGTTTATAGACGGCCAATGTTTTTGCCATTGGACTATTGTAATCGCTCACAGTCAAAAACAAAGACAAGTAATCTCCTTTCCCAGTGGCGCATCCTTTTGGGTACATTTTTAGTTTCCTGGCTCAAATGGTAAACGTATGTATAAGATATACAATTATAACACAGATTAACGACACATACTATCGCAGTATCAGTTTGTAAGATGTTTTAGGATTGTTTTGTCATTTCTAAGTAAACGATAATTCATTTTCTAAAAGGTATGGATCATTGAGTCACTTTATAATGAAAAAGAAAAAGAAAAAAGAAGCTACTTCGTGCGCGCATTCAAGGACAAAACATCGAACTTATAGAGGGAGTATATATGATTTGCATACCATCTCCGTTGTCCAAGCTTGAACTCGTTGGAAAAATGATAATCACCAACGTCGAAGGAGGAAAACTGAGTGATCTTCCAGGTGAATCTAGAGTCTTTTTTGGACACATCGGTTAGTGTTATGCGTTCCGCTGTCCCAATGGTTCGAGGGATTGTATTGGTCACAGGAAAGTTTGGTTGGACGTCGGTGACGTCGGCACAGAAAACCACTTTGTCGTTCACAAGATATTTCTTCTTCAACTCCTCGTATGATATGAAGCTGTCTTCCCCAATAATTGTTTGGTTTGCGTTATAAGACTCAATCCCTGATTATATACATACATATATATATATATATCTCAACATCATATATATCATGAAAATCTACATTATAAATACTGATGCACGTTTCCATACATATATATAATGTGCAAAACTTACCTTCAATAGAATGGCACCTATTAAATCCATTCTGAGGAACTATGGTGAGTTTGAAACTGCATTTGACTTCCCAATTAGGACCTAAAGACTTTTTATCTTTGATCTTTAGATAAAAAGATAAATACTCCTTTGTGCCGTCCTTCCCAGCTGGATAAACAATCAACATCCTACATCCCAATTTCAAGCCAACAAAGAACACTCATATATACAGTATAGGTTAAATTTAAATTGAAGAACCTTGTACTGGGGCATTAGATCAGAATGACTCACCATTTGAGACCAGATACATTGAAAACCGATGACTGAACCTGCATAACTTTTTGAGTCTTTAGCTTAGACATTCCATCAACCAACATTATGTGAGCGTTTTTGCGAACCTCTAGCTGCGCCTTTATGTTCTCTAGATCGAATTAATACATATGCATATTAGCAAATATATACACAGAAATGAATTCAACTTGATTGTATGCAATTGCATGCATGCCTATTTATAAGTAAGACGTACCTTCAACTGTTAGACTCATTTTGATGATGAAGATGATGGTCTATTTCAATACCGTAGTAGAGTTTTTAGTTTGTGTTAAAGTGAGAAGAAAGTGGTATGTTTGTCTGTATATATAGGCAAATTCCTTGACGATTGGGTTTCGATTAGGATCTAAACGGGTTATGGATTGTTTTCTTTCAAATTAAGAGAAAGGAATAATATTATTACATGTACGGTATGATGGAAATATTAATTCTCACATGTTTCCTATTTTATTGGTATCGAGTTTTTAGGTCTTATATGAAATAACATACTTTATATAATTTGTAATTATTTATTCACAAAAAAAAACTTTAACTGATTCTAGAAATAAATAAATTTCTCGAAAAATTAATAAGTACAAACTTGCTAATTAGGAGGCTAGTTTCTTTCTTGGTTCATTTTTATTCACCATTTCCTTACTAATCGATGTCTTTGTAAAAATTTGTTAATATAAAATGGAAAGAGATGTTAACCAAAAAAAAACCAAAAAGAACTACATTCTCTTATAAAAATACAATTTACATCTTTTGCTACTCATTAACTTTGTTGTGGTCCTACCCCTTTAATTTTAGCCAGTCAAAAAAATAAACGTAGAGAGCATAACTAAGAGATTCGAAGGAGTAGATTCCCACATTGAAATAGCTACATTCGATGTTATCTAATACGAACCATATCCTCCGGTCCCTACAATCCACAAGTGCTCTCTTTTATTTTTGTTTGTAATTTTTTTGTTTGCCTCCACAAGCACTCAATTTATTCCAGACTTTATCGAGAACTGACAATTTATGGCGAACAAATTTTAAAATGGTGAGATATATGCGTAGTAGGGACAAGCAATCCCACATTCCTATTCTTCAGCCTAGACCAAAGATCATTGCCCCTTTTTATGAGAGTTAATAAAAGGTACGAAGTCACCCAAATGAAAGAAAAAAAATGCTAAAAGTGGAATTTGGTTCGAGATAAAAAGAAAGAATCATCATTTCCAAAGATATGTTGGGAATTTCATACCAGAAGAGTGACATATGAAACATAGATCAATCTAATTATTATAAATTAATTTTGAGTTTGAGGATCATTATTCCTTCAAGTCCCTTAACTTTATCTAAATCCCCAAAAATGTTTTGACGCCAATTCTTTTCTGCAATAGATCTTCTTTTTTCTTAACAAAGGATAAGAGCATGTTCAACCCTGAACCTCATATAGGGGTTCTAAGCGATTTTTTAGTAATATTTTTGTGGAAGTTTAGAAGTTAAGAACTTCTCTTTTTTTTATGGTTCCAACCTTGAACCTGTAATGAGGTTCATGAAAATAAAATAATATTATTTTTTTATTAAAAATTATAACAAATTTAAATTTGTAACATACATATATATGATTACAAATCAAATTATTATTCATGACAAGAACATTTTAAAATACAAAATACAAATATTGAATACATAAAACGATTTAGTCATAATCCTCGGAGTTCCCAAATTTGTTCCAAATATGTTCTACCAGATCGTCTTTCAAACGTTGATGTATTTCCTTATCACGAACTTTTTTCCGGTTCCCGATCAAGTTTAAAATATTTGTAGGCATATATGTTGAATATGTCCTATCCACATGTGAAGTCCTGCTAGCGTCGACTTGTTCAAAATCTGCAAGATTGAACTGGGTATAGGTTCCTCGTTCGTTTTCCACTATCATATTGTGCAATATGATGCATGCCCGCATAATCTTTCCGATTTTTTCTTTATCCCAAACAAGCGCTGGATTTCTGACGATCGCAAAGCGCGCTTGGAGGACTCCAAAAGCACGTTCAACATCTTTACGGACAGATTCTTGACGTTTAGCAAAACACCTTGATTTTTCATCTTGTGGAAGCGGAATGGATTTGGCAAAAGTTGCCCATCTGGGATAAATTCCATCCGTGAGGTAGTACGCCAAATGATATTGGTGACCGTTGACCATGTAATTCACCTTAGGAGCTTTCCCTTGTAAAACATCATCAAATACGGGAGACCGATCAAGAACATTAAGGTCGTTTAGAGTACCTGGAGGTCCAAAGAAAGCGTGCCAAATCCATAGATCTTCAGATGCTACTGCTTCTAAGACAATGGTCGGTTTTCCAGAACCACGGGTATACTGACCTTTCAAATGAGCATCGGTTAACACATGAAATCACTCGGTAAATCCCAAATCCATGTTCAAATCATCATTTAACAGATGATACAGCTTGCTAAATCCACTAATCAAACCAAAACCATTCGCTAAATCCATAAATCCGACAACCCAGATGTTAGATGATTTTTTGAAATTGCTTCACATCTTAACCATGAAATCGTTTAACATATCAAATCAAAAATACAGGTTTGCAGGTTCTAATTACCCTAAACGATCTCGGAAGACCGATTTTAGTGGAACTGAAATTTATCCCCAATTTGCGAAAACCCTAATTTCTCCAAATCAAGTTCTATTCGACTCGAATACATACCTTAAACAAATCGTTGGCGTTTCAAGAGACTTTAAACACCTGAATCCTCTCCGATTTCGAAGCAGAACTCTCCGATTTGGTTAAAAAACGTCGGCAAAATCACTTGGCGAAGTTTTGCGGAAGAGAGGAAGAGAAATAGAGTTTTTCGAAGAAGTGTCGATTTGTCTCGACCAAACAAAGACCCCAAAAGGTTTTCCCAAAAAAAAATTGTTCAAACCAATTAGCCAGCGCCACGTCACTCTTGAACCCCATCAATAACAGGTTCTGCAAACTCTAATATTAGGATCGGTTCAAGCAAAAAATGGGCTCAACTGATTAAAATAAGCCCAAATATTGTTTTGAACCCTTGCTATAAACCCCTTCCATCCTTGCGTTGGACTTGGTCTAAGTTGTTGGGAAAGAAAATCTTGCTTTCAACAATACAAAAATAGTCGTCACCAAAACCTTTTGGATATTAAGATCTTGTATAAGTGTCTCCCAAGGTTGGGTCTTTCATCTTTGGATCATATATCTCTCCCAAATTCTCGCCATTTATACAGATTTCAAAGTAGAGCCCGGGGTCGTCGCATTCCCCACCCCATGCACTAAGCCGGCCTTGAGTATTAGCAATTAATATTTTAATTTCTATTCAACAGGGATGATTTCACTATTTTTACACATAATTAATTACTATGGTTCACCAAATAATGCGCAAAACCGTCAGACACAATCTTTATTTAGAAAGAAAATTTCACACTATATAAGCGCACAAATGTTCATAAGGATAAAGGTAAATCATCAAGTAAAAAAAAATGGTCATATCCAAGAAAAAGATTGTTTTTGCATTGGCTCTCATAGCTATTATATGTATTGTCATGAACAAAACTGAAGCCGAAAGCATAGGGAGTGGAGCTATGAGCAAAGATGAAATGGGTTGCAACCCGCCAAATTGCCATAAGCAACAGGCTAATCCATATAAACCGGGTTGTGATCCTATCGAAAGATGTCGTGGTGGTTGAGATTATGAGATATCTTTTTTTTTCTACGAAATATAATATTTGTTACACGAATTCAGAATTTATTATCCGATTTATTTTTTATAACTATGAGATACATAATTATTGTTACTATTTTGTCTGCGAATAAAACTTTTTTTAGGCACTAGAGTTTTGTAAGCTAGTATAAAATAAATAATTGTATAGTTATACTGGCCATCTGTTATATATGGCTTTGTTCATATAAATGAGTTTTTTTTTTATTGTTGGTATTTTATATAATGTCATGTTAAGAGGTAAGAGTGCAAAGCCCAAATTTGAAATTAAATAGATGATTATGTTGAAACTAGGTGGAATATGAAAATTCAGAATGCCTTCTCTAGGGAATAAAAAGTCAGCTAACAAGTCCATATACAAAACATATAAAGTATTCCATCCGTTTCATAAAGAGTGTCGTTTTAAGGTTTTATTTTTGTTTCACAAAGAATGTCGTTTTATATTTTCAATGCAGAATTTTAAACAATATTCCAGTTTTGACCCTATTGATTTAATGTATTAATTAGAGAAAAAAAGTTATTTAATGTATTAATAAAGAGCAAAGTAGTATTTTTAATAGTTTTTTTTAATAAGTGTGAAAAATGTCAGAATAACATTCTTTGTGAAACGGAAGGAGTATAAAATATCTCAATGTAAAACACGAAGGAACAAAAAACACTTGATGATTGGATACATACCTTACGATTTTCAAAAACATAGTAAATATGCCGTCAAAAGAGAGTGGATCACATTTAGTGAATCGAAAACCGTGTGGTTCATATAATAACAATGCCATGATATAGAGAAAAAAAAAACAATACCTTGGTACAGAAAAAATAAAATGTTTGTATTACACTCTAAAATTAAAAAACAGCAATTTTTTATGGTTGTTACTTGTTAGCTCCCTAATGTATCAACAAATTAACAAGTTTTCGTTAGTCAACTTGACGACATTAGTTATTAAGCGAAAATAACATAGTGTATAGGCCGGTCATTAAAGACAAATAAACAAATAATTTGGGGTCAATGCGAGAAAGCATCTTATATATAATACTTGCTCAACTCTCTCCAGTTTTGCGACACGTCAGCACTTGTAAGAATGCCACGTGTCATTTTATTATTGAAAAAGACTCCTAAATGTTAAGCGTATCCTTCTCTTCATCTTCTCTTGTACAATATTTTTACGTCTTCGCAACGCTTTCTCTACTCTTCATCCCGATATCCTTCATGTTCTCACTAAATACATCTCTCCATTGATCAATTAGGTCACGCTATTATCAGTTTTCCTTTCAAAACTCTTGGGTACTTGCTAATTTCGATTTCCCTACAAAAAACCATTCGATGGTCATCTAAGATTCTACAGAGGGAATGGAATCTCTGGATCTAGCTTAGATTTTGCATCTACTAATCTTTTCTCGAGCTCATACTCGATAGAAAACAGGTATCTGTACATGCATGATTCAAAAAAAAAATTGTTTTCTTTCCCTTTTTAGGAAAAAAGTGTTTCTCATTCTCATTATTATCAGGATCCACCGAATTTGGCAGCAAGATGATTTGGAAACCCTAATTTCTTGGCTAAGTTAACACAACTCCTGAATGGGCACTGGACAACACACTTATTATGACGAATCTGCCTGAGTTTCTCGTCCCAGCGGAGATATTTCGAATCTGATGCTGGGAAGTAAACTTCTTCATCAGGTATTGTAGAAATCCACTTAATTTTTGAAAAAGATATCTCACCATTTCACGTGAAATTCGAGCTTGTGTATTTCACTGTAATCAGGCATCAATGAAGTCGTATGGACATTTGAGCATCAAAGGTAAGTAAGTTTATCATATTTGAAAACTTTTACCTTAGTGAAGGGTTTCTCTTCACTCCATGTCTCTTGAATATCTAAACCCATTATATTATTGATAACAAATGTAGACATCTCTGTAGAAGTTGATGGTGCTCTTAACAGGGTCACATGGATAAACTATATAACATCACTTGTATGTTTCTCTATAGAAATTTTTTTTTTGGCTATTAGATTTTTGGGTTATTTATATATCCACTATAGAAGAATGTTGACGTAAAATCAATTGCTTAGCTATGTCTGACCATGACTCAGGGCGTAGGTCTTATTTTTGAATTTAATGACGGAGCCATGAGTATATTGGAAGTTAAGTTATTACTTCTCAAACTACATTACCATTGATTTATTTAGCTAATCCAAAATAAACAAGTCCGTTTTCTGATGGTCAATGGTGTAGATCTTGTTTAGTGAGTTTTTGAGAAACCGATTGTTTGACAAGCTAAGAGTCACACCAAGCTAATGTTTGCTGCAAACTTCAGATTCTTTTTTGTGGCGTTCAAAATCATAATTTATGGGTCACATTGTTAGGAGGATGTATTTGAGCGACAAAAGGAAGCACTAAATAAGAACATTGGAGGAGGTCTGCTTGGAGTTGTAATGGCTGTTGTGGAAACAGGTGGACAAAGGCGAAGATGAAGAGCTGAGAAATCGAATATCTGAGGTTCACTGAGTCCTAATCATTTTTTTGGTATCTTTTGTCTTGTAGAGATTACTGCCTTCAGTGACCGGCATGCAGAGTTTGAGAAGTTTTTGAACACAGAAATATTAGGTGTCTCTGTCGATAGTGTGGTAAGTATATAACTATACAGTTAGTTACCATAAGTTGTCAAAAAAAAAAGTTACCATCATATTTCCACGTCCTTCTTTATTCTTATATGTTTGTAATTGCTTGACTCATCCTTCCTGCTTTCTGCTGGTGTCTATGTGTGGGTTCAAACAGACAGGAAATCTGGAGGACTTGGTGATCTAAACTATCCCCTTATTTCAGATGTCACTAAATCGATCTCAAAGTCATTCGGAGTGCTCATCCATGATCAGGTAAATTGGTAGCCTCTCAAGCTTGACTATATGTTTAAATTTCTAAATCGTTTGGGAATTATCAAAAGCTGAGAACTTTTGTGTGGTAAAAACAGGGAATAGCACTGAGAGGGCTCTTCATAATCGACAAGGACGGAGTGATCCAACATTCCACCATCAACAATCTTGCTATTGGCCAAAGCGTTGATGAGACAATGAGAACCCTCCAGGTATACGAATAACCAGTTTACTCAAAACCGTGCTTTCTTTCATTAACCCGATTATCCTTTGCATGATGCGTTCTCGATGTTGCAGGCCTTACAATACATCCAGGAAAACCCCGATGAAGCCTGCCCTGCAGGATGGAAACCAGGGGAGATGAAAGAAAGATGACATGAGGACCATCCGGAGGCTGTAGTAAAGTGGGAATTCTTAATCGTAAGTTAAGTGCAGAGGAATGGTTTTATTGAACTATTGTCTTAAGTGCTTGAAATTGTTTCGGGTTCATTTTAAAATATGCAGTTTGCATCTTAATACCTGAAGTGAGCTAATTGTGAAGTCTGAATTTGAACTTGGATAAAGAAAACTAAATCTTCAATCTTCTTTCTCTTTTAGAGTTTGTTGATAATTATATATATTTTAAATGATAAGAATCGTTGTCAAGAAAAAGTTTTACAAGTGTTGGATTTTTCGTTGACGATAATGTGTTACTTCCATAAACGCCAGCCATATGCAATTTAAAAAATTTCCAGTTAATGGAGGAAGACTACTAAAAGAGCAAACTGATCAACGAAGAAGAATTACACACGCAAAACAAGTTCGATGCCAATAAATCTTTTCAATTCATGTATCTAATCACTTATTGGCTTCTGAATTCAATATCTAATTACTTATTTACATTTTATAATATAAAGTGTTTAACTGTACATATATCTAAACCTTTAATGTTATTACAAAGAACAGAACTACAAGTTTTGAAGTCTAAATCTTCAGAAGAGAAACGCGATAAGAACAAAACTAATGAGTAATATTAGTAAGAAAAACATGATGAGAAATATTTCCTAAATCTCCACTTGAACACATCAAAAACAAAAATCAAAAATACTCAACAAATTAAAAAACAAAACAAAACAAAACGCAAAATTATTGAATGTATCAAGGGTTTACCAAGTTTATTGTGATTCTGGGTTGAGCAAAACATTAAAGAAAGAATGTGAAGGCTTAATTGTTGCTTCTTCTAGAAAATAATAATTGATTTTATTGTACTCACTGTATCTTTATTTGAAATAGGTTTCTTCATGTGGTTTTCTATATGGCAGAAAGAGCATGGAGCCATGCAATGGAAAAAAAACAGCTACCATATGGGCCTAATGCACGGTAGCGGATATATTTAGCTGGTAAGCTAAGGAAGGCAGTTAAATGGGGATCACTTTTCTCAAGTTTGTGCTCTATTAAGACAGATTCCAAGACATCACTGGAAGCTGAAGTATTTCAGTGACCCCAAATGTTGCAGTATTCAAAAAAATAGATTTAACCTAACTACTGCCTTGAATGAAAGAATAGAATACCTCTGTTTTAGGCTTTTAGCTTACTTGTTATGTGTAAAATGCATGTGTATTCTTTTAAAAAATCAAAAAAATTTAATAGAATTAACAACAAACTAATAAAAAGAAAAACGGACATGATCATGTTAAAAAAACCAAAAAATATGGAATAAATAAATGCAATATAACACCAGAAACGCTATCGTAACAAGATTTACATCAAATCTTACTTACTCAAATATGAAAACAATAAACAAACAATAAACATTAGTTAATTTCTTATGAAATCGTAAATAATAAAAACTATCCGCGCTTAGCGCGGGCTTTCACCTAGTATTACCAAAAAGTGTTCTAGTTTAATCCTGGTTTAAAAATAAATATATAAAAAATTTTGAAGAAAATTACGAGGAACAAACTTGCATGAGAAATGAGATTTAACCGAACAAAAAGTAAAAATATTTAGCCCTAAATATAATTAATGAAATGAACCATGATCAAGCATATATCCTCATCTTATTAATCACTTTGTAAACGTCATCCACGTCATCGTCGTCGTTGTCATCTTTGACCTCCTCTACACACCGCTCATTATCGTCCCGGAAACTGCCCTCGCCGCCACCGCCACCACATCCTCCTTTGCTGACGTCAGCAGAACCAGATTCGACTCTCATGAGGAAAGTGCATAAGAGGAATGTTATGAAGCAACAGATGATAAACTCTCTAGATGCAGCCATGGATCGCACACACACTCTTCTCTCTCTCTCTTGTCTGGAACAAATTACAAGAGATTAAGAACAACTTTAAAAAGCTTTCGTTGTAATTTTGTTATGTTTTTTTCTCTAACAATTATACTTAAATAAGAAATGGAATTTACTATTAATGGAATAAAAATTTGTTTTCTCGTGCTGGTCTTAAGGCTAAGTAACTGTTGCAGTATTTTCACATTTTTTCCCTAAAATAATCACTTATTTAAGCTATAAAGTTCATATATTACTTAAACAACCTTTTCAAAATGGGGTTTACTACATAACTCCATAAACTTCTAAAAGACTTGTTACACTTCTTTAAATTTTAAAATTATAGAGAAGTACTGTAACAAGATTTGAGGTAAAAAGGAAAAAAATAGACAAGTCTTTTAGTTTACTTTGAAGAAAAAGAAAAAAAACTCTCTCAAAAACGGATTATACAGAAATTTAGACAGTTGATTAAAAAAAAAAGAGATCAATTTTGCGATTGTTATCTCTGTTTTTTTTTTGCGCCTTGTCTAAACATGTTATTATGCTTGTATTTTTGTAACCTTGATTTTGTTGGTCTATACTTAATTAGCTCTTGAATGTTTTAAATTGTGTTTGAAACTTTAGGTCTCTCTCAACATCAGATTCTTCATAAATTTGATTCATCTGCATTCTTCTTGTAGGTACGATTACTCGGGCTATGTAGAGATATTTTTTTTCTCCTTTTTAATCGACGAGGGGAAAAAAATTGAGTGTATGTGAAATACACAAATTACATTATTTATGTTTACGATGAAGACTTAGGCCTTGGGCCTAACATTCTATTTCATAAGCCCAATTGTAAATTCAAAAGTAAATCGTCGTGTCCAATAAAGGTCCAGTGTCATCGCCATATCTCCACCGCGAATTTCTCTCTGATCGGGAAACATCTTCTTCTCCGACGACGACTACCGTCCCTCCGTCATGCCGGAGATTGACGCGTTGTTTGAATCAATCAATGTTCGGGACCTTCTAGCCGGACACGATCTCAACGATCCGACGACTCCATTATCGGCGCCGGATCTGCGCCTCCTCATAAACCGCTTGGAGTCTCATTCCCTGCGGATCAAGTCCAAAGTTCAGTCCTACCTCGTCGCCCATCACTCCGAATTCTCGGAGCTTTTCTCAACCTGTCAAGACACCGTCTCCAGGACTCGCTTGATCTCCGACGACCTCTCAGATGTCCTGCAATTGATTTCCGACCGTCCGATTGATGTTGAGATTCGTAGTGTAGTTGATGAGATTAACGAGAAGACCAAGGAAGTGAAATTGAAGAGAGAATCGCTTGATTTAGTGAGTGCGATCGTGGGAATCTGCGAGGCATTGCAGGAAACGAAGGAAGCTCTGAAAGGAGGACGTTTTAGATTCGCCGCTGAGAGAATCAGAGAACTGAAAGTTGTACTGAGGATTGGTGAAGAAGAAGAAGAAGGAGAACCTGTGGCTTACGTTTTGCTTAGGAAGGAATGGTCTGATTGCTTTGACGAGGTGAGCCAATGGCTAATTTGGTGTCTTTGGTCGTCAAAAATTGAATATTTTGTTAGGTGTTGGTATCGTAAAAATCTAGTTTTTCTTCTGAATGAGTTTAAAGTTTTAATCTTTGTTTTCTGACTTGACGGAGTTTTCTTAGGAGGAAAATCTGTTACTTCTAAATCTTTTATCTTGCATTTGTTTATACTCAAGAGAACTAGTAGAATCTGAGGGTTTACAAGAACTCTGTCTGTGTTTGCAGATTCAAGACGTGCTTGCAAAGTTCATGGAAAATGCAGTGCGTTTCGAGGTGGACTCGCGTAAGCTCAGGATTAATTATCAGCTAAGCGTTGGGGAGACTACTGGAATCGCTCTTAGTACTGTTCTCGAGGCAATGGAGGTATGAATGTGTTTTGACTTATATATCTAGCGAAGAACATAGCATTTTCAATGCCATATGAATCATTTGTTTTTACGCTATTTGAATTTTGACTGTTCTGGATTTTTCTAGGTGATTGGAATGTTAGATTATGGGCTTGCAAAAGCAGCTGACTCAATCTTCAAGCATGTCATTACCCCAGCTGTAACTCATGCGTCTACCTTTGTCGCTGTAGAAGATTCAAGTAAAACCTCAGGAGAAATAACCGAAGCGATATTAAAGCTAGATCAATCCTCAGATCATAAGGTAGCTCTTTCTGTGGATCTGTCCATGATCCATCTCATGAATTCTTTCTTTTTCCCTATCCTACAGATTATGTGCTTCTCGTATATTCTGTGAGGCTTACATTCTTAAATGCAGGTTGAAGATGTGGATGGAGGTGCAATATATACAGGAATTGTTAAGATTGTTAAATTCATTTGCAGTTCCTTGTGCTTTGGAAATGTTACATGGATCCGTTCTTTCGGGAGATTGTCATGGCCGAGGATATCAGAGCTAATTATTTCTAAATTTCTTTCAAAGGTTCGTTTGTATAACTCTTACGGCTGCGAAATCATGATGAAGATTACTCTTCTCCTTTAAACTTCGACTGGGTTGTTAAAAGCTTGTTCTTCCTTTTGGAGTCAGGTTGTCCCCGAAGACGCTTCAAAACTTGCTGACTTTCAGAAAATTATTGAGCGGACCTCTCAGTTTGAAACAGCTCTAAAGGAATTGGATTTTGTTTCACCATCTGATGCGGAGGGAAGGCTCAGCAAATATGCTGAAAATGTTGAGGTTCATTTTGCATCTAGAAAGAAGATAGAAATTCTAGCAAAAGCAAGAAATTTGCTGTTGCAGTGTAATTTTACGATTTCCCAGGTGAGCTTTGATTATCGTCATATTTACTGCATCAGCCTTCTCATGTTATAAAGACCATGATTGTGAAATCCTTTTTTTAGGAGTTTGCTAAGAGAAATGCCAGTTTAAAGTCTGATGGTGTGGAATCTTTAGATGTGAATTCTTCCAAGCACGTCGTTCGCTTACTTTTTTCATCTGAAATGTGTGTGGTGTCTGAAGCTGCTTCTCAACTTATGCATTTGGTGCATAAGACTCTCGAGGTATCTCTTTTCGGACTTGTGCAATTTAATATTAGCATTTTCCAGACATGGTTGGAAGAATAAACTCAATATTTCCTACAGGATGTCTGTGTGTCTTCTGCAAGGGTTGCGTCAGAGTTCTACCATGCTGCTCGAGATTCTATACTTTTATATGAAGCTGTTGTTCCCGTCAAGGTCAGTGAAAGAAAGTTTCAAAAAACGATCCAATAATTGAATCAGTGTGGTGATTATCATCACAATGAATTTTTTTCCATAAATATGCGCAAAGTCTTATGTTTCTTCTTCCTTGCTCTCTCGAAATGTAAAGTTAGAGAAACAACTCAATGGCATCAATCAGGCTGCTGTTCTTCTGCACAACGATTGTCTATATTTGTTCGAAGAGATACTTGGACTTGCTTTTGAGGTATGGACATCCGCTGTGTTGAATTTTTTTTTTCTTTGATTGAGAAACCGACGTCTCTTCTTAAACAGCTTTATTCATCAATGGGCGAAATTTACAATATCTACGCTTCTTCTCTGACTATATCATCATTTTTGTTCACAGTATCGTGCTAGCTTCCCTAGTTCCATCAAGGAATATGCAGTATTTGCTGACGTAGCCCCAAGATTTAGATTGATGGTAGAAGAAGTTTTGCAAAGACAAGTTCAGCTAGTAATTTCGAGTTTGCAAGAGGTGAATTTCTACAAAAAAGTAGTGTTATGTGAACTTTAAAGCGCATTGATTCCTAGGGTAACACTTTGCATCTATCATCAGGCTATAGATAGTGCAGATGGATTTCAGGATACTCATCAAATAAAGCAATTCGAATCTGCCAAGTTTAGCATTGAGCAGGTAATTGCTCAATCTTGAAATTTCCGTGTTCTTTTTACCTTCTTTCCTATGAAGTGTCACAGTTTAATCAGGAAATTGCTACTGTTTAGTAGGTTGTCTTCAGTTTAGAGAAAGTGCATATGATATGGGAGCCGGTCTTACGGCCCAAAACTTACAAACAAAGCATGTGCGTAGTTTTGGAGTCTGTCTTTCGCAGAATAACCAGAGACATTCTTCTTCTAGACGACATGGCTGCTGATGAAACTTTTCAGGTAACTGTTTCTCTTTGCTAGTTCCTTGTGCAATTCTACTTTATAATTGGCTATTAAAAACTGTGTTTTATTTTTTTTTAATTCTCAGCTACAAAGACTGATTTATCTTATGTTGGAGAATCTATCTTCTTTACTCGGTTCCCTGAAATCTGCAGACGATACTTCTCGTCCTCTTGATGATCTCATACCATCTTTGCGTAAAACCCGAAAACTAGCAGGCATGCCTTTTACTAATTTTATTTGTTTTTCCCCTCAGTTTACGCTAAGCTTGGGATTGGCTCAGTGAATTTTTTCGTTCCATGGCTGTTTCTTTTTTTCTTATTTACAGAACTATTGGATATGCCTCTCATGTCTATAACTTCAGCTTGGGAAAGTGGCGAGTTGTTTAGTTGCAATTTTACAAGAATAGAGGTACAATCTTTTTAACTTGTTTTACCTCTTAAAGACATTGGCTATTGTTCTTCCTTTTTACGAGTTGTTCTAGCTTTTCTGAAAGATTTCTGATGATATTTATTGCAGGTACAAGATTTCATCAAAGCTATATTTACAGATTCGCCTCTGAGAAAAGAATGTTTATGGAGGATAGAAGACGTTAGCCAGTAGCAGGAAATGATACAACTAAAACCCCCTCAGAAGCAAGTGAGCAGCCAATGAGGTATAAATGTGAGCTTGTACCATCAACACTTTTGTGTAAAGAATTTCCCACATTTTGTTGATTGTGTAAAGAGAGTTTTTGCTGATGAGTTTAAAGCTTTAGGTCTAAAAGCATGTCTCAGATTTTGTTGTACATGATTTTACATTTGATCATAAGATCCAAGGGAAAGAAGCTCAACCTACAAGCTAATTTTATGGCCAATTAAAGCCAGTTAAAGCTAAGACTGATTTTGTATTTGGTTCAATTTAATGTAGATTAAAAAATAACTTTTAGTTTTCATTTCATCTGGTTACAGTTTTGTTTTCCACCGCTTGTTTCAAACTGAAATGAGACGGAATATATGAGGTATTGGTATAAGTTAAGAGCGATGTACTCTAATGCCACTCCACCAAAGATTCTCTGATTATGTGTCTATTAAATCCAGAATCCAGACATGTTGGGAAGGTCTAATATATGGATGGTTCTTGTCTCTTGAAATGCTCTTACTTTCTTTTGGCAAAACATAAAGAGTGAGAAACATTCAACTGTTCAGATCCAAAAAGTAGAAAAGTCAGGTCACACCTTGGAGTCTTCATCTTCACAACTCATCCTTGGAACCAACATTAACATCAGCATCACCTCCCATGAGTTCTTCAAGTGAGAATTCATCTTCCTCAATCACTTCCCCGTCTTTACCGTCCCACGCTTTTGTATTCACGATTTCCGGAGTTCCGTTCATAGGCAAGTTTCCTTTTCCACCGGCCCCAGCGTCCTTTACAAATTCTCTGATGTAACACAAACAAAAGATTACGTGTTAGAGAAGGAGAAATCACGCAACTGAATCTGAACCATTGAGATCTCTAGCTGAACCAAACTTACAAGAGGTGTGGAAGCTCAAATGCACTTTTAAGAGGAGCAAATACTCCTTTCTTCACGTTCATCGCTACCATTGCTGGATAACCATATCCCCCCACGCTAACTCGCTTCTCCAGATCTGGCTGAGTTACTGCCGCCACCCACAGAAAACTGAACACAACATCAAATTTACATGAGATTTCTCATTCTACTTTTAGAATAATTCTTTCCTAAGATTGTACATGGCACTTCTATAAGAACCGTAAACCTTTTGGTTATGTTTACTATTTGTCCTGACACATCTAAAAGACTCTGTGTTAATTCTTTAATGAGACTTTCAGATTAGGTGGATTGTTAACAAATTCCAGTCATTGTTCATTTTAGTTACTTGAGAACACTAATGATAATAAAAATTCAACATAATCTTTCCACACTGGGAGGCAGGCTAACTGAGAACAGAACCATGATGCAGCAGCGAGAAAAAAGAATCTTTCTTAGTATACCTGTAAGGATGCCTCTTAAATTTCTCTGCAACTGATAATAACATCTCGAGGTACTTATTCCTTCCTTCAGCTTTGGAGTCAAGAATGTCTGGTAAGAAAGAGATAAAGCAAATAGCAGCAGAACCACACTTCTTATCCATGACATCCTATTAAATCACCATAGAACATATGTCAATGTCTTGGTTTGGAAGAGATTACCATCTAGCAGAGAAGTAAGTGATGTGAAAACGATACCTGCCCAGTTAGTTCAGTTACTTCAACAGGCCCAGCACTAGATTCCACAAGTTCTGTAGCAAAAGATTCTATTGCTGACGCAGATCTAGCACCATCATAAGCATATGGGCTGCTTTTGTCTGCACCAAATACCATAATTGTAGGGAATCCTTGCACTTTGAATCTGCTCATTATCGACTGCAATGTATAACAAATCCTTGGTCAGAACCCATCACGGGGAAGATATATACAGGACAAGAAAAGGAGATTGTCGTAGCTTCAAAAACAAATGAGAAAAGACTAGGCACAGGTAAAATTCCCAAGAAACCAATAGAATGCTGAGATGGGAAAGAGGCTATGTAAATTATCTCTGAAAGACAAACATAGAATGTTAACATTTCTAGTGATTACCTGCTCAACATCGCAATTGACATGACCTAATTTCACCTTCCCCTTCAAGTTTTTTGCAGCCTTTTTCCACTCTGGGGCAAGGTTTTTGCAGTGTCCACACCTTTTAAAGAAAGGAAAAAAAACGATGTTTATCACCTTCAGTTGTACCGATGAAATTTTAAAGCATGGACAGTTCATCGGGTCAGTAATCACAACTTACCAAGGTGCAAAAAACTCAACGATCCAGAGGTCATTGCTTTTGATGACCAACTCATCAAAATTGCTAGAGTTCAGTTCCACAGACGCACTGGCCTCAGATTTCTTTTCATTAGATCCTCCTCCAGTTGGCTTACTTTTTCCTTCCAAGCGGTCACTCAGAAGAGCCTTAATCTGGGAACAAAAATGACAAAATGGCCACTTATGTTTCAATTTCTATTTACAAACTAGCTACAAAGCCATGGAAAAGTATTCTCATTCAAAGATGCTGACCCCATTTAGATCATCAACTCCTGCCCTTTGTATATTGAAATTTTACTTTGGAAAGCAAAAAGGACAAAGATCTTTACAGATAACCATATCGGTGCTAAATTTTATTTGATGGAAAATTAATACGATTAGCTTTGCGGTACTTAGCTTCAGGATGAGTATAAACTTCTTCTACATAAGTATGGCATATTTAACTGTAATCTTCTGGCCAGAAGAAAATAACATGGTAAAGTTCAATCTTGTAAATTGTGGCAGGAACATCTTCTACCAATCATGTCATAGGATAGAACTTGATGATTTAAAAAAAATAAATGTAATTAAGTATCAACCAGGAGCATGTAACAAACCTGTTTGTAAGCAAAATTAGCAATAGATTTAGCATCTCTTGCTCCTTGGTAATCAACTGGAGGCTTTCCAGGAACAAAGACCTTGATAGTTGGGAAGCCCTTAATACCATAATCCTGGACCAGAGAGTACATTGTAGTGAGTGAAAAGTTTTTTACTTTTTGTAAACTTTACAAGCAACGGTCTCATGGAAAAATAGAAGCTTTTGATGAATGTTTCACTGTGTAAAAGATGAGTGGAAATAACGTCACAAACCTGAGCGGCAGACTGGTGAGCGTCTGCATCAATCGCTGCCACAGTAGCAACACCTTTCAAAATACTAGCCACTTTCTCCCATGTTGGGGTTAGAGCTTTACAATGACCACACCATGGTGCAAAAAACTCTACCAAAACGACTCCATTTGAATTAAGAACCTGCAACAATGAACATGTTAAGAACACTAATACAGTTTCACATCAGTTCTCATTTCGGTTTTACCCAAAACAACTATAATAGTCGACAAATTGCAAACAATGAAATAGCGTCACACGAGTATAAATCACGAAAAACAAACCGGATCTATGCACTGCTAAAAAGAGGAAAATTAGAAAGAAAATATACACCCAGCTCGTACTCTTATCTACAAACTAGATCAATCTTCAAAGATGGTTTTCAAAGTAGGAGATCAGAGAGAATCGAATAATTTTCCCAAATACAAACAATCGATTTCTCAAGAAACAATCGCCGAAACACCTTAAAACATGAAATCGATCAGCATCACACCTTGGACTTGAAGTTAGTAGCAGTGAGCTGAACTACAGGCGACGAGGATCCGTAAAGAGCATTGCCGAGATTGAATAATCCAAAAAACAGAGCCAGAAGCGTGAGCAACGTTAATGGTGATTTGTACATTTTTTTATTTGTTCTTCCCTCTTTTTCTCTCCTTTCACTTTCTCTCTAAAATGATCCCTCTCTCGCGATCCTGCGAAGCAGCAGAATTAAGAACACAGGCTTCGACGAGGTACGTGGATTGACCAATTACATCGCGACACATCAGCATCAGATGGCCGTCTTTTACTTCTTTTTCCCTTCTGGGAAAAGCCTCTGACCCAGATAGAAGGATTCCATTTATGTGATATCACATTTTTATAAAGCACAAAATTTGCAAATCTCCAGAGTAGAGAATAAAGAACTCTTTTCTTCAATCCAAACCAAACAACTTTTTCACCGGTGTCTAAAAGAAAAAAATCTAACTGTTTCGAGTTGCTGCATCTATCAAATTGGAGTACTCTAAGTAAGAAGGAAAAGAAAAAAAAAGCATGAACCTGATTGGTTGAGCAATAGAAAATTTGTTAAATGATGTCAAATTTTATTAACCAATTCAAAAACACTGTCCATTTCCTATTTTGTTTCAGCCATGCTGTATCCGAAATCCAAAAAAACAAAAACAAAAACAAAACAAAAAAGAGATAGAAGATGCCCTCCTTCCAAAAAAATTAACAAAAAGGGCAGAGATATCATTTGAGATCGTTAGAAAACCCTGAGATCATGATCATGATCAAGAAGAATTATCAGAGGATTCCTGCTTTTCTGACTTTTCCGGTTGTACAGGATTTTCGTCCTCTTTCTTAGTCTCTGAGCTCGGATTCTCTGCATCAGGTTTACCATTGGACAAGGCAGTTGAATCAGAGTGGTTTGGTTGCGATGAGTCCTGCACTTCTGACTTGTCCGGTTGTGTGGATATATCCTCCTGTTTCTCAATCTCTGAGCTGTGATTCTCTGCAGCAGGTTTATTACCATTGGTAGTTGAATCAGAGTTGCTTGGCGGTGATGAGATCCTCAGATGAGTTACAACCGGCGAAGCATTAGCAGTAGGCATTGAGTGATCAAATTTGCAGTTTGCTCCATACTTGCAGAATCCATAGGCCTTGAAGTTACCACATGCTGGTTGTCCCTGAACACATCAATGGAGTGTCACCAGATGGTGGATGTTACGGAAAGATCTTGTTGGCAGTAATAAGAAAGAAAGATAAGAGACTTACTGGTCTAGCTGGAAGAGCAATAGGGTTTGAGAGATTCGGTGGTGAGTGTAACATCCTTTCCTTCGGATGACTGTATTTGCAGTCATCTCCATATTTGCACGTTCCGGTGTTCATGAAAAACCTACATTCAGCTCTGTCAGAATAATTTTGATGATGCGATGTCACGGCCACAGTCACCGATGCACTAGAACTGGAGTCCGGTTGAGTTTTCACATTATACATGGGGTTAGATCCAGCCTGCACCACGCAAATAAACCAAAAAAAAACAATAACTTTCATAGGAGGACATTAAGTTGAATCTCTCTTTACATATCGTATCTTTACACAGGGAGAAAGGCCTCTACTTGAGCCAAGAACAAAGATATTCAAGACTTACCATGTAAGTCGGCCAGCCTTGAGGAGGTAAAAGACCTTGAGAAGGCGCAACCATGAAGGGCATATAGGCCTGAGATTGAGGAACTTGAGGAGGTGTCATAACTCCATATGTTGCAGGAGGCAAAGACATCATCGTCAATCCACCGGCATAAGGATAACCAACAGAAGGGAAGCTGGACATTCCATATGTAGAGTGGCCATTATGAGGCTGAGGATGAGGATGATGGAATTTGCAGGCAACTCCGAATTTGCACATTCCCGTCTGCATGTAATATGGGCATGACTTCTCACCCTGGAGAGAGATGAAACATATAAAGTTTTCTGTAAACCATGCAATTGGTGATGAAGATGTAATGATAACAAGACAAAGTATTCTCACCTGTCGCATAGGATAACCGAGAACATTGAAAAGCACGGGTCCAGCACCATTCCTGTCCTTTGGATGGTGATATTTACATGTTGAGCCATACTTACAGGCTCCTGTCTTCAGATAATACTGCGAAGAAAATTGCATACAGAAGAGGAAAGTTGTCGTTCAACAGCAACAGAGAAAAAGTAAAACAATGTCGAGCATCCACTACCTATACTTTCGATATAAGGAAGGACTCAAGACAGTTCAGTACCAAAAATGCCAAATGCTGTTACCTATTATGCAAAGCTACAAACTGGAATAAATTCTAAGATTATTGCTAGTTCTACATGCCGGAAACTTGAGTCAAATGTACCACATGAATACTGAGAGACCGAAACCGCTACTCAAACTTTTGAGATCAACACAAGAATACAAAACTAGATGATAAAGTAAAATGTAAGGAGTGCACCTCACAGTCTGGCTGTCCAATCCTCTCAGGCAGTTCATCTCTGTGATAAAAGACACCCTACACAGATTTTACAAACTGTAAGCTAGAGTAACAGTGAATGTGCAAGAAGAGTCAGTCAAATAGACTAAGTTTCTCACCTGTGGAAGATTAGTAAGAGGATGATTGTATCGACAGCTGGTTCCATAGCCACACTGCCCAGTTCTCAGAAAGAATTGGCAATCTCGCTCACCAGGACGATCAGGATATGGACTAGATTGCTCCATATTGTCTTCATTAAGTTTCATCCTCCTGAAGGTATCTAAAAATCATAACACCAAGAACACCAGACATGAACATCATAATTCATACATATAACTACAACTTTAGAATTTTATATACAAAAAATCAATCCATAAGAACCCATTAGCTAAAGCTACAAGACAATGTCAAACGTTAAAAGACCAATCAGAATCTAAACTTCACAATTTTGAATACATTATCAGAGAACAATCTCCCACGACATAAAAACGTGATCTTTTAACTTCCATAAATATTGAAGAATTATTCAGAATCGATGATCCGACACGACGAATCCAACAAGATATAACTCCAGAAAGACAAATTCGTATTAACCTCCAAATTTCCGAATTTTTCGACGTCTTTTGAAAAGTAAAAAATTCCCAAAAAGAAAGGAAATCACATCGAGACGTTGAATGGCCAAAGGAAACAAAAAGAAAAAGAAAAATTATATGATCTTCAAACACATTACGTAAAACAAACGGTTTCTATGGATCTCTGATGAAATAAACAAAAAAAAAGGAGATGAAACAAAAAAAAAAACAGTAACTACCTTCAGTTTTCTCGGAAGATCGAATCGACCCAGTAGAGTTCTGAACCTGCTGAGTTTCCGACATGGCTCGTTATGAGACAAACACAGTCACAGAGACAAAATCAAAAACGCTTATACGTCTCTTATCTTCTGAGAAACAAAAAAATCAGAGACAAATCGTTTTCGAGTTTGTAAGTAGAGATGATGATCACAATGATCAACAACAATAAAGAGGAAAAATCTGTGATTATTAAATAAGGAAATAGATTTGTTCCCTTTTTCCCGATGAAAGATAAAACGAAGAAGAAGAAGAACAAATGTTAAAAACTGGAAAACGATCTTCGTAAATTTAACTTTTCTTTCTCTCCCAAAGATAGATTTATCGTTTGAACAAATCTCTGCCCAAATATTCCGATTGGAATGAAATTTTTCCTTATTCTCTCCTTGGCGATTTCCTTTCCTTTTCCCAGAATCTGAGATTTTCGGGGGAAAATTTCGGATCTTCCTTTTTGGTTTTTGCCTTTTTTTTTTCTCCAATGTAATGTGTTTCAATGTGAAAACGAGAAAATTAAAAAATTAAAATGGATTTAAATAAACAAATAACAGTGCTGAGTAATGAGTCTTTGCCCCTCGTGTACGGATTAATAAATTATGCCGGTCCCTTTGTAATGACAATCTTACCCCCAGTCCTTCATCAACTCGTTTGCGCGTGATTTAATTTTCAATGCAATGATTCGATCTCAGCCGTCGGATCCGAACCTTATGGGACCCGTGCTATTCTCTTATTCTTTCGAACCTTAATTGATAAAATTAAACTTTTCACTAGTACCATATCTTAGAAAAATTTAATATATCATGAAAATTCTGTAATGAACTATCATATTTAGGTTTTTACTATTAAAAAAAATCCAGGACACTTTCCTCATATCAACATAGTTTTACCATTCAATTCGATAAAATATGGATGAAGATAGCACAATTGTTTTAATGTAAAAATTTAATACTAACTATATGTTATAATAATTTCACTCATTGTATTATAGCTATCTCTCTTATTTGTCAACATACTGTATTTAGGCAAATAAAAAATTAAAATAATTTTTCTTTCTTTTTTCAGAGGATAAATTATCACTTCTTCTGATTCATTCTAAGAGATCTAACAATTTAAGGTTTTTCCATTTATATTTAAAAATTATTAATTTATATTTTCTAAATTAAATCTTTATTTATGATCTATTTAAACACATTGCAACTAATTATAAATAATTACAAAATGAAAATAATATATATTAATTTGCATAAAATTGTAAGAGAATTCTTAATTTAAATTACTAATATTACCTACCATTCATATTTTAAACAGAAGCGGTAGTATTTAATATGCAATGACACACTTAAATTGAAAGCAGTTTATTCGCATATCTAAATGACGGTGCGTGGAGTGTGTGTGTGGGTCCTTTTCTTAATTATATCTTCTCCCTAATACTCTACAAATCTCCAACTATATTATGATGAATGAATAAATGTTTCTCTTGACTCATGAGATATCGATTTTAATATATTTGATGTCTCAGTAAAAGAATTTAATGTCAAACTAAATTGCAGTGCTCTACAAAATCAAAGTTTCAAGTCATTTAATACAGACTTATGAGTTATGACATTTTGTATGAAAATATTTACGTCATTATAATAAGATTGATTATTTAAGTCCATGCTTTTTATTTTCAAAAATAAAGTTGAATAGTGTGCGTTTGATTTACCTTCACGAGAGATGGTATCAAACAAGAAATTTGGAAATTAGGGACATACGACGGTTTAAGTCAGAAATTTGGAAAGATAACAAAACAAGAAGAAAGTTTGACCCCCAAAAAAAAAAACAAGAAGAAAAAAAAGGGAGAAGAATTTATGGGTATTTTCGTCATTTTAGTGTGGAGTAAGGGGGGAAAAGGAAAGCGTGAGCCACACGGTATTTTATTTTATGATAAAAAGTAATGCTGATTAAGGGAGCTTATATTTATTTTAGAAAATTCTGACTTGTACTAAAATGCTCTGGTACGCTAATCTGCGGTTAGGAACCAGTTTATTCAAATGTAGGACCCACCCATCATGAGACTCCATTTCGTAGTTTAATGACCACTATAATTAATCATTTATTAGTATTCGGTTGATTATTTTAGTGTTTTTATTTGCATTTTGCTACGTTAATTTGAATTTTCAAATTAATTTTTATACAATAGCATGTAAATTTCTATTATATATAAAAAAGGATCATGAAGTTCAACTTGCTGAAATTTAGTTTGTAATTTAAAATTCTTTTTGTGAAAAGCAAAGGGTACACCTTAAAAAAAATGGAATATTTATAATTAATAAAATAATAACAAAACATAAACAAACTGTATATATATATATATAAAATTGTGGTATTATAAGTTTTGAATGTAATTTGTTGGGAGTGATTTTCTGCTTACCAATCTCGCAACGACAAAGTGAATAAACCTCATCTACGAACTATTTTATGAGAAGAGAAGACAATCAAAAATTTCCAGCTTTGTGGAAAGATCATTACGCAGTCACTTCTTACTGTTTGGACTCTCAGAATAACAACTCGTGAAACCAAGTTTTAGGATCATTTTTCGGATCTCTGTGGCAAACGAGTCTTTGTCCAACTCATTAGAGTTCATTAGTACGAGAAGACGTCTACATAATACAATGCATATCATGTCCTTCCAAACAAGATGCCATCAAAATCAAATAGACTGCACGAGACAATCAGGTCACCTTACCAGCTTTTAAAACACATAATAATCAGTTTTCTATACGTCTAGACCGGTCGATCAAAAAAAACAATAGTTTTTCAACTCGAGTCAAGTAAAAATTCTAGAAATATGATCCTCTCATTTTCAGATGAAATATATAACAAAAACGTCAAACTTGAGAAGTTGGCATCCAATTTTTGAAAACACCACTCACACACGCTCGTAACCATGTTTATGAGGAAGAATGTGATCTTCGATCAGTTGATTGATACATCTTTTTCCTCTGGTTTGAGATCCTATAATCATTCTCGCTAGCTTCTCGGACTTTTTGGAAACCGACACTGATTACAACCTAATATCTATTTAATTTGTCAAACAAATGTTAAAAATGGTACAATGGTAGCCATTTACCAGACAGACTATAACGCCGAAATAGAAAGCTATTGGGTAAAAAATAAATAATTATAACATTTAATGTAAAACAAAAAGAAACAAACATTTAATGCAGTTTGGCCGAATCTACCACTACCAACAGGCCTTTTTTTTTGCTGTATTCCATCAATTTTTTAATTGGACATATCACACAAGTGTAGAAATATAGGTTCAGGTTTACAAGAGGATTATAGTCTTTAATAGCAATCTAACTATAACTGAACTCACTAATTAAAAAAAAAAAATTCACGAGTTCAAAAAGGAAAAGAAAAGGTTCCAGTTACGGACAATCCGATTATAAGCGGATCTACTGAAGAGTAATGTCTTTCCATGTTGTGTATAATTTGAGAAGGATTATGTTTTTTTAGTTCTCAACAATTAAAGTTTGTACTAGTGCAGACAGCAGATGATGTCTCATCATCCAAATTTGAGATTTGGTATAATGTAGGTTTTTTTAAAACAAATTCAATATTTTATAAAAAAAAATATAAGCATATATTAGGCACAAGACGATGACCAAAATTTGTTTGCTTGTGTATGAAATGAATTAGGGAATGAGAAACTTATATGAATAATTTTTTTCATCATTATAGTTTACGGTACCACCATTAATTTTTTTTTTTTAAAAAATCAGTATAGTCAAACCGGCTTTAGATATATTTGGAGAGACAAAAACGCAGAGACGATTCGTAAACAGTTAAAAAGAACGAAAAAAAAAACAAAAAGAGAAAACAAAATAAATAGGCTTTGGGACCAAGCCAAGCTTGACTCGTACACAGGGGGCAAAAATGGTAAAAGCAAAAAAAAAAACGAATTGATTCAAGCACAAGAAATCTCCTGCATCGCAAGTTTGTAGCAGAGCTCAGGTAGGACCCACATGTGGAAAAAAATGGGAGGAGGAGGAAGGAGGTTATGCTCTGGTGGTGTTGGGAGCAGTGTAAGAGCAATGATACTGACCGGTCAGTATTGCGCCACGTAAGCAGTTCGGAAAGGTGGCAATTGTCTATGGTTACGTCCACTTCATACGTTGCACACGTGGGTTTGACGCGGTTTGTTAGACCGGATTGACCCTTTACAAGACTTTACGTCAAGCGTTTTCTCTCACTTTTTCTGGTAGATTTCTCTTTCCTATATATCAAAGTATTTTTTCCTCACAAATTTAAACTATTTTGTTGAGTCTAACAAATCAGTAATCAAACTATTCAAACAAAAAAAATGATAGAAAAGTTTTAGCTATTAACTTATGAAAAGAAGACTAGTGTTGGTAAGAACACACTAAAAATCCGAAAACCCAAGCTTGTAAACCGCTGGTTTTATGACAATCAACAAAAACG